AAACTGTTTAGGTCGTTTTGGTTGGCTCTTCATATATTCTGAAATAAACCAAAGAAAGTCCATGCTTAATAATCCAGGTATACAATCCAACATTTTATAGTCAGGTCATCTGGACAGTCATGTCAAACTGGTTCAAACCCCCCAAAAATATATATATATTCTCTGAAACGGAAAATGAAAATTCTAATTTAAATTTGAAAAATTCTAATTCTCTGAAATGTTTCAGCAAAAAAGAAACTGTCCAGATGACCTGACTAAAAATTGTTGGATTGTATACCTGGATTATTGAGCATGGACTTTTTTTGGTTTTGAACCAGTTTGACATGACTGTCGACGAGGAAGAGGGCCGGCACCAGAGGAGGGGGCGTGCCAAAGACACCGTCTTAGCACAAACATAACTGGTTTGTTCCACTTTGGAGTAAGCTGTTTGGTGGAAGAATCAGTTTTGTTTTGTGTTTTTGACTGATGAAGCCTTCTGGATGTTTTGTTTCCACAAAGATCAAAACCTACAGCTCCGTTTTCTAACGTTTCTGTAATTTACAAAATAAAAGCCTGAAAGTTAAAAGTGAACTCGCTCCTGAGGGTCAACCTCTCACCGGTTTGGAGGGGGTGTCCCCTCCTGCCCCCTGGGGGTCTCGGGGGAGACGTGCGGAATTGGGGCTACTGTCTTTGCTGAGGCGTCCTGACTCAGCTATGTCCACGCCGCTGTCCTCACTGAGGGTCTGTCCGCTGTCGGACAGCTGAGACAGGGCGCCACCTGGAGGGGGGGCAGACAGGAAATGTCAAAATAAAACTCACTTCTTTCATAAGACATCAACGTTAAAGTAATTTCTGATTTGGTGAAATGTCTAAGCTGTTTTTGATACAGATTTGCTTAAAAATAATCTGAATTAAACAGCTCACAGGCTCCACCGCCCGCAGGGTTACAGATTATTTTTGAACAACGCAACATAAATACAGATTTGGAGATTACAGACCAGATTTAAACCCTTCGTCAGAACTAAGAGCGCAGAACTTGTGCTAATTAAAAACAGGGGACATATCAAACATTCAATTTTATTTTTGGGGGGGATTTATCTTTGAAAAGATCAAATCTGATGAGCAGAAAAAATACTTCTGGATTATGTGACAGTTTTGATTTAACTTCATTACATAAACGGTTTGATCCAGTTGTTTATTCCAACAAATACACAGAAATACATTTTCCTGTTTTTATTTTACACAGATTTAAAAAAATGTCTAAAGACTCCTTTACAACTTTACAATTAAAAGCCGGAATCCTTTAAAAAAGCTGCGTCCTCCTAGTTTTTTATTATTAATGCTGAGAAATGACAGGACGTGTTGGGAATGACTCTCAGCTACTACCACCTCAACCTTGAGCTGTAAAATGGGATGAACTAAAGACAGTTTTGAGCTGAACAAGGTACATTAGTTGAAACAGATCGCCTCCAGCCAGTGGTTCATGAAATATTTTGCTAACAGACTATTTTTAAAATATATTTGGTATCGGGGTGGGGGTGGGGGGGTGTTACCTCGAGCTTGGGGCAGCGGCCGCACCTCGTTGACATCAGGTTCAGCGTTGGGCCGGTGGACCTCCACGGTCACAAACTGCTGTTTGGATCCAGGAGACGAGGCCGGGGAGGCTTTAGATACGGACACGGGTTTAGGGGGCAGAGAGGGAGGAGGGGGCGGAGCTGGGAGGGGTGGTGGCGGCGGTGGTGATGGGGTGGCAGGTTTGACCCCTGTGCTGGGGGACTGCACCCTGGGGAAGGGCCCGATGCTGTGCTGGGAGACGGAGGCCAGCTGAGCGGGGGTGATTTTGTCTTTTTTGGGCTCCTTCTTTTTGACGGAGGCGTAGTCCAGAGACGGGTCTCGTTCGTGGCGCAGGGAGGGCGAGGCGGGGGGGTTGTGAGAGCTCGGGGCGGTGAAGAACAGGCCCGAGTGGGAGGATTCAGACGAGGGGCACTTGATGAGCACGTCTCGCCTGCTCGGGCGCCTCGGCGCCCCTGGAGGGGGCGGGGGCTTGAAGGAGGGGGGAGGCTCTGCTGTGGCGGACTGAACATCATCCTGAAGTGAGAGGATATATTCGTCACTGATGAGGGGCTTAACCAACGTACAGAACCAGACCAATTTGATCGTACACTTGAAGGAAACCCCACAGAGCTCTGAAATAACTTGAAACTGTCAAAAGTTTTCATTTTTATAAAAAGTCAAAGTGCTGTAGGTCCATGCTCAACAGAGCTGGTGTCTTCAGTCTGTATAAAGGGTAGCAGGTAGTCACAGGGCTGTTTGGCATCGTGGTGTGTAACACGCTGAACATGGACCACAGGACGCTGAGGACACACTTGTCTCAGCTTAAGGAGACACATGTTGACATCATGTTAAAGACTATAAAACCATCTCCATCAGCTTGAGCTTCCTGTGACTCCAGCTGCACAGATTATTCAGAAGTTTAAGGTCCACAGGACTGGAGACAACCTCCCTGGACGTGTCCACAAGAGGACAACTGATGACAAACTGAAGGGACGGATTAATAACCAAGAAGTCCAGAACAACTTCCAAGGAGATTAGAGTTTATCTCCAAGGTCAAAGGTCATCAGTGTCAGATCACGTCAGGGGTCTGTGTTGAGACAAAATGGACGTAAAGAAGGACGACTGAGGACGAGACATAATATTAAAATAAAATATTAAAGACTGGAATTTGTCAAAATGTAAACTAAGAAGCCACAAAGCTTCAGGGAGAACGTCCTCTGGACAGATGAGACAAAACTGGAGCTTTTGTCAACAAGTCCCATCAGCTGTGTGTCACGGACCCACAAGAACCCTGTACCTGAAGTGGACCATGGAGGAGGCTCGGTTCTGTTCTGGGGCTGATTTGCTGGATCTGAATCTGGTCCAGAGACTAAATCTCAAGACTATCAAGTCATTCTGGATCTAAATGTTCTGACCAGAGTCAGAAAGCTTGGTCTCTGTTGAAGGTCATGAACTTGGTCTCTGTTGAAGGTCATGGATTCTGCAACAGGATCATGACCAAAACATAAAACTAAAATCTTCAAGGAACGGGTCAGAACCAAACAGTGGACTGTTCTGAAGCGGCCTGCTGGGCCCTGATCTAAATCCTGTTGAACATCTGTAGAAGGAGCTGAAACATCTGGAGGAGAAACATTCAAACCTGAGACAGCTGGAGCAGATAGTTCAGGAGGAGGGGACCAGAACACCTGTGGACAGTTGGACCAGAACACCTGTGGACAGTTGGACCAGAACACCTGTGGACAGTTGGACCAGAACACCTGAGGACAGGTGGACCAGAACACCTGTGGACTGGTGGACCAGAACACCTGTGGACAGTTGGACCCGAACACCTGTGGACAGTTGGACTAGAACGTCCGTGGACAGTTGGACCAGAACACCTGTGGACAGTTGGACCAGAACACCTGTGGACTGGTGGACCAGAACACCTGTGGACAGGTGGACCAGAACACCTATGGACTGGTGGACCCGAACACCTGTGGACAGGTTGGACCAGAACACCTGTGGACAGTTGGACCCGAACACCTGTGGACAGTTGGACTAGAACGTCCGTGGACAGTTGGACTAGAACACCTGTGGACAGGTGGACCAGAACGTCCGTGGACAGGTGGATCAGAACACCTAATGGACCAGAACAAATGTGGGAAGGTGGACCAGAATACCTGGGAACTGTTGGACCAGAACACCTGATGGACCAGAACCAGAACACCTGATGGACCAGAACACCTGTGGGCAGGTGAACCAGA